TTCCCTTTTTTTTTCCCTTTTTCTCTCTCTTTTTCTCTCTCTTTTTCTCTCTTTCTCTCTCTTTTTCTCTCTCTTTTTCTCTTTTTCTCTCTCTTTTTCTCTTTTTCTCTCTCTTTTTCTCTCTCTCTCTCTCTTTTTCTCTCTCTCTCTCTCTTTTTCTCTCTCTCTCTCTTTTTCTCTCTCTCTCTCTTTTTCTCTCTCTCTCTCTTTTTCTCTCTCTCTCTTTTTCTCTCTCTTCTCTAATCAGCTGGTTGGTAATCTTTTTAGTGAACATTTTTTTTTGTAAATTTATTTGTTGATATGTCAAATAACTAAAATATATTGTAGTTCTATTACTTGTCATGATTTATTCAGCTGATAAAAGAAAAATTGAACTAATAATTTTCAAGCATTGATTTTAGTGCATGGGTGGAATAGGGAACATCAGAACATGCTTACTTTGCAGTTTTGGGACTCAAATCTGACAAGACTTTGAATATCCAACAGAAACTTTACACAATCAACTTCTCAGCTAAAATCATTTTATCTGGGTATTATTTCTTGCAATACATATACTGATATTTTAGCCATAAAAAAGGCATTGAAAGACCAGGTTCCCATGTGGTCACCAAAGTTAAACAACATTGAATCTTATCAGTACCTAGGTGGGGAACCACTTGGGAATACTAGGTGTTATAAACTTAGAAGTGTGGGCAATGTAATGGATAATGGCTCGGAATTGTTAATGATAGAGCTGAGTTCCAATTTCAGTTGGGTTTATATTCATTTATGCACTAATACCCTTGTGAAAGGTTGCAATTCACCTCTTCTTGCCTACAGACTTGTATCACTAAACCATTATCTTCAAAAATGTAATTCTTAACTGTTATGGTCCGGTTCCTTGTACCACAGTGATGGTCCAAGGTAGAACCAATAAAGAAGAACTCGCACACAGGTACGGAATAACACAGATATATTACAAACAGGAATATATACAGAGAAGTAGAAGTGTTAGTATGAACAATCAGGTTTAGTAGAGAGAACAATGTAGTCTCGACCAGTATCACTATTCCAATGTTTTGCAGTAATTGTCTGAATGCGACTCGGTTTCGGATTGCCTCTGACTCAACTCTTGACTCGACTTGAACTACTGACTCAACTGACTCCTTGCCTACTCCTGAGGTGCAGTATTAAGTATGGAATAGTCCATTATTATTATTATCGGTAAGATCCCATAACACTTACAATCTAAAAATATTCTCTGACTTTAAATAATGTGCAATGGTTGACAAGCTGAAAAAAATGAATCAATCAAAAGTACGTAAAATAAACAAAATAAACATGAATAAGCAAGATAAAATAAATAAATGTTAGAATAAAGCCAAGTATTTCATCACTCAGTCAGTTATGTGCCATGCAAGATACATGCTTAGGTGATCATGTATCTTTTAATACATGACTGACGAGGCAGATTCTCTTTCTGTGGTAGACCAGTTGCCATCCAAGGCTATAGAACCCAGTCTGTCCTGCTATTTACCCATAGCTGGGGGGAGAAGAGGAGATTTCATGCCTTTCCCAAGGGCATTAATTAGCACATAGTTGAATGCAATGGATTCAACTGGAATTCCCTCAATTTGAGCTGCTATCCATTTGAATGACTTGGCAAAATCCTATAATTCAAGTTGTCTGGTCGAAAACAAAAACTGTCAACAACAATGATGATGATAAATAATTTCAACTGATGATTCATCCATATTTATCTTTTATTTATTTTTTATATTGATTTGTTATCAGATATTTCATTCTGGGGTAATCAGGATCATTTGGATGTTCGTCTTGTCCCCACGACCACCTCAACTAAGAGTGAGTTTTTGGAGTTATATATAAGTGCACCTTTATAAGGTTGGAAATTATAATTTATTTGGCATGAGAGTTTGTAGTTTTCAGTTTGCTCTCTGGAAATAATCAAATATTGCAGAATTATTAATCCTGGAATTAATGAATGAATCTGGTTTTAGGTTGGGAGAAATTTCTATCAGTCCATTGATTGTTTTGTCTTTATAGACCAGACAAAATTCTTCCTTAACAAGAGTATTTTATCTGAAGAGGGTTAGGTTTTAATTTTTAACTTGTCTTGGAGAGCGCCATGATCAACCATGTTTTGAAGAGTCATGGCATAGAAGAAGAATCAACAATCGGGCATTTTAATCCATAAAATTAAAATTATCTAAAAATAAAAATTAGTTGATTAGATTGAGCTGTAACCAAATAAAATTCCATTTTCTTTTTTATTCTTTTCTATTTTAGTCTCTTTTTTTTATTCTTTTTTCGTTTTCCTTTTTTATTCTTTTTTTGTTTTCCTTTTTTATTCTTTTTTTTGTTTTCCTTTTTTATTCTTTTTTTTGTTTTCCTTTTTTATTCTTTTTTTTGTTTTCCTTTTTTATTCTTTTTTTTGTTTTCCTTTTTTATTCTTTTTTTTGTTTTCCTTTTTTTTTATTCTTTTTTTTGTTTTCCTTTTTTATTCTTTTTTTTTATTCTTTTTTTTTATTCTTTTTTTTTATTCTTTTTTTTATTCTTTTTTTTATTCTTTTTTTTTTATTCTTTTTTTATTCTTTTTTTTTATTCTTTTTTTTATTCTTTTTTTATTCTTTTTTTTATTCTTTTTTTTTATTCTTTTTTTATTCTTTTTTTTTTTTTTTTTTATTCTTTTTTTTTATTCTTTTTTTTTATTTTTTTTTATTCTTTTTTTTTATTCTTTTTTTATTCTTTTTTTTATTCTTTTTTTTATTCTTTTTTTTATTCTTTTTTTTTATTTTTTTTTATTTTTTTTATTTTTTTTTATTTTTTTATTCTTTTTTTTTATTTTTTTTTTCTTTTTTATTTTTTTTTTTTTTTTTTTTTTATTTTTTTTTATTCTTTTTTTTTTCTTTTTTTTTTTTTTTTTTTTATTCTTTTTTTATTCTTTTTTTTATTCTTTTTTTTTTCTTTTTTTTATTCTTTTTTTTATTCTTTTTTTTTATTCTTTTTTTTTTTTTTTTTTATTCTTTTTTTTTTTTTTTTTTTTTTTTTTTTTTTTTTTTTTTTTTTTTTTTTTTTTTTTTTTTTTTTTTTTTTCTTTTTTTTTTTTTTTTTTTTCTTTTTTTTTTTTTTATTCTTTTTTTTTTTTTTCTTTTTTTTTTTTTTTTTTTTTTTTTTTTTTTTTTTTTTTTTCTTTTTTTTTTTTTTTTTTTTTTTTTTTTTTCTTTTCTTTTCTTTTTTATTCTTTTCTTTTTTTTTTATTCTTTTCTTTTCTTTTTTTTATTCTTTTCTTTTTATTCTTTTTTTTTTCCTTTTTTCTTTTTTCTCTTTTTTCTTTTTTTTCTTTATTCTTTTTTCTTTTCTTATTCTTTTTTTATTCTTTTTTTCTTTTTATTTATTTATTTATTTTTTTTCCTTTTTTTTTAAATTCTGGAACTTTACAAACAAATTACTGGATAATAGTAATATGTCACCTCATAAAAACAAAAGTACCAATTGAGAAGATTCTACTACTACTGTTAGATTAGTCAAGGATTTCATTTATCTTGTGTTTTGATTAGTTGCTTTGTACTTTTGCTTTTATTTCTACTGTTTTATTCAACCCATGTTCCTTCATAACACATGTTGACGTCTCTGTACTTCTAAGCCACTCGTAGTATAAATGTGGTCTTTATTTGATTAAGAGGAATACAATCAATCTTCGCAGTCATATCTTCTGTTCTCTTCATTCTTGAAGGCTTGCAAACACTCTTTGAGAGAAATGGTGGCAGCAGCAGCAACAACCATTTGTTTTTTAGAGGAACTTTTTAGAATTTTTCTTTTTTTCTCCTGTCTTTTATTTAAAGCTGTAAACAGTAGTTTTCCTTTTATTTTTATTTTTTTTCTTTCACTACATATCTTCCTCTTCCTGCCACCCAAACATTACCATCCTGCCACTGAATGTTTTATTAGTCTTGCTCCATTTGTTTTATAGTCTGATTTTTTTTTTTTTTTTTGTGTGTTTTTTTTTTTATTCATCTTTTCTTTTTTTTTCTCATCTTCTTCATTAGAATCTCCTTAATTTCTGCTCTTCTTCTCACTTCTGTCCATTCTTGGTCATTTTTGCATCTGATTTTCCTGCACTAAATTCTTTTTTGTCTTTGATTTGCTTGGCCATTTCTATCTTTTATAAGAATAAAACATTTTTGTATTCATTTTTATTTTCTTAGTTGTCTTCTTTTATTTTCTTACCTTCTTTTTATTATTTTCTTTTTGCATTCATTTTTCTTCGTTTACAGTCCTTTTTGTTTTTTGTTTACAGTCCTTTTTGTTTTTCGTTTACAGTCCTTTTTGTTTTTCGTTCACTATCTTTTCTTTTTTTTTTTTGTCCTTTTTCTTTCACTGTCTTTTTTTGTCCTTTTTTTTTTTCATTCGCCATCTTTTTTCATTATAATATTTTCTCACTATTTCTTTAAATTTTTTTTATCTCCCTGTGTCAGCTTTAGCTTCTTTTTCTCATGTTTTCCCCTCTTCTTTCTCTCTTCACCAACATCTTTCTTTCACTTTTTAGTGACATGAATTATGGTCAGCCTTTCGAAGACACCTTTTCTCAAGAGATGCACTTTGTTGTGCCATTTAATCATCATAATTTCCATGATGTATTTATGCCATTCAGATGGTATAAACATTAAGGAGGATTAGAATATTTTGCAAGTAGATGAAAAAGGAGGAAAAAATAAGTTAAGAATATTTTGGCTAAGATTGTTGAAGCAGCGTACGTGATGTCCAGAGAAACGGACATTTTCACTTCAACTCTTGAACCGTCAGTTGTTAGCAGAAGACTCTAAAGAAATATGATTGATTTCTCTTTGGTGTGCATGAATGTAATTGAATGGTATTGTGAATAAGTTTACATATGCTTGCAGACATATAAACAGTGTGGACAAAAATCAACAATGCATACTGGCTGCCAGTTGCATACCTTAAGTGACCATTAGAATGTCCACACTGTGTAAACTCTTCACATTGAAACATTGGTTCCCATATGATCACTGACGTTAAGCAACATTGAGCCTGGTTAGTACCTAGATGGGTGACTGCTTGGGAATATCAGATGCTGTAATCTAGAATGTGAAGGTGGTGTAATGGATAATGGCTCTGAATTTTTAATCAGAGCATCAAATTCCCATTCTAATTGCCTTAGGCATAAAATAACGTTGGGAACGGTATGAGTCTATCACTTCTCCCTCTAGCTATGGGTTAATTAGAAAGATTTGTATCACCAAACTATTATCTCCCAAATAAAAATTGTATATAAAATATTTAGATTTTGATATTGAATAACTCCAAGAAGTTGATACACCACTAAAGAAAAACAATCAACTCTATCTAGACAATTATATAAAATGCCATTTACCTTTGTATGACCCCACCCAAAAAAAAGCATTTTGCATAAATACTTATATTTCAATATAGTCTTCTGCCTTATCAATACTATTAATTCAGATGTGAATACAGGTACACAATCCTATATCCCAAATCTTTGGGGTCAGTTATATTTTAGTTTTCAGAATTTTTTTTTTTTTTTTTTTTTTTTTTTTTTTTTTTTGAAGTTTTCAGAAATTAAAAAAATTCAGCAGCTAAAATGTATGAATAATCACACTACATGGGATAAAAAAAAACTACGACAAATATAATTTATGGAGTAATATACTGATAAATGAAATAGGGGTATGAGGTCATAAGTAATGAATAAATTTACTTATTTCAGACAAAAAAATGCCTTGTATAACTTGAAAAAAAAAATGAACAACATCAAATGCCACTGAGGAACACCATGCTCAAGCTTCTGCAAACGCTCTACTTTTTGTGTTATCAATAACACTTCTTTTTCTTTTTCCCCACTGTTACCCATGTAACTGCAGTTGTATCTGCAGTTGTTTTTTGATATTTTCACTGAATAAAGTCACAAAAATTACAAAAAGAAAAAAAATCAGCAAACAGCACACTCACATCTATCCAATACGATCATTTGACAACAACTGATGTTTGGCAGGCTCAGGTTGCTCAGCCTGGCTGGGGGAGTAGTGGCCAGAGTCAGGCCAGCCATGACACCTGTTGTTATATCATACCCAAGTGGTGTGGGTTAAGTAGATAAGATTTTTGCGCGCCAAACTCCAAACTAAAAATATTTGGTTTTCCAAGGTTATAGGTTTTCCGAAGTTTGCATAGAGGATTGTTAACCTGAACGAACATCATAAAATGACAATTTTGGATCAATATCACTAATAATTGACAGGTTACAAACTTATTGATCCACTCTTCTCTATATTATTTGTATATATTCACTGTATATGCAAGACATTGATAAACATGAGCATATACTACTGGATGCAAATGTGTATGTCTTTGACTATAAAATGTCTTATTTATGCATACATGTGGGGGGGGGTGATAATTATCTATTTCCCATCAGCACTAATGACAAGTATTCAAGCCTCATTAAAAGCCAGGATTTGAAATGCTGATTTTTTTTTTTTTTTTTTTTACTTCAAGGTGAGTAGACAGGTTCTTGCCATTTTGTAGGGCTGATGTAACCGAATCCTCATTATTCCATCTGCTATTTGATTCTATGCTGTACTAAGTAAAGCTTAGTGAATATCACTAGAACCTTGATAGAAAAAAAAAAAAAATCTCCAGAAATATTATGATATCCCAGTGATATTTTATCAAGATGTCTGTCAAGGGAAGTAGTGGTTTCATGCCATTTTTGTGCTAATTTTAATGCTGAAAATAACAGATCAATATTTTAACTTGTAATCTCTGGAAGTGGAAAGAAAACAAGTCTTCTCAGGATGTGTACCTGTGTTTTATAGATTATGCAAAAGCATTTGACAAAGTACGTCACGAAGGACTGTCAGAACTGCCAGGCAACTTTGACATATTTGGAAAGGATATTAGAATAATCTAGAACTTATAATGGCATCAAACCACCTGCATATGGATTTAAAATGAGTTCAGTAAATATACAAAAATGTATAGCTGGCCACTCATATTCGAGGATATCTGTCTACTAGGGAGGCTAGCCAATCCCCATTGCAGACGCTTGCTCAGGCACATTTGTGTTTATTCATCACTCACAGAGCCCACCTGTGGTTTATACTGCAACTATGCTGAGTAGACCTTATTTACAGTTTCTGGGAAAGAGCATGTTATCTAGAATGATCAACAATTTGAACAAGGCCAGCATGCTCAAGCCCTCAGCCACGATGACTTGTGACTTCATGTTAGCACAGCTATCAACAGCTGTCAAGGATTCCATCTATCCAATTTCACTCATAAGGCTTAGATCAAACTGTAGTATGGTTTTCAGGCACTTTCCTAAGGTGCTGCACGCTGGGATTGACCTCTCCAGTCTGCTAACATCAGGAAGGCTCCTTTCTGACAAATTGATTATGGTGAGATTCGAACCTGGGTCTCATGGTCAGAATGCAAATGTTCTATCTAACCTTTTGGCCACATGCCCATAAATATACAAAAATAAAAAGGGCTTTAAGACAAGTTAGTTTCATCAGTTCTAAACTTCAAGAGCTAAAAAGGAAAGGAAATTGTGGAGAGCCATGATCACCAGAGTCCTCAAGGGACACAACACATAGAAGAATAAAAATAATTTCTGTTTGTATTTCTGGGATGATTATTTACATGTCCATCCTCATGTTTTTGCTATCAGCCTCCATATATCAAATCAGAGTATCCTGGGTAAGATGATAAACTGCATCCAGCAGGAAAGCCTCTGAACTGGGGTCAAAACATTATGAAAGTTTAAAAATAGGTTTTAATACCAGTAATATGTTTTTGTAAAATAAATATTAACAGCAATAAAAATTTTGTTGGCATTAAATAACCCATTGAGTTTGATATCCACCAAATCAAATCAGGCCCATAATAATTTGTATGAATTTCTAAGATCAGGATTTATTATTTATATTTGGTCTAAAGCTGTCTTTCTTTTTCTTTTTTGTCAATCTTTTTTCATTGTTTTTTCATTGTTTTATCCAAATCAAGGCAATAAAGCCACTAGGATGCAATGGGTTACCGGATGTTAGAGAATATAACTACTAAATTAAGAAGGGAGGACAATAAAAGAACAAAAATTAAGAAGACAAGAAGATAATGATTGACAACGCATTTTAAGTTTTTGAAGATCAAAGTTGACTGAGAAGGAAGAAGTTCTACAAGTAAGACATGTGATAGAAGAAATCTTTGTTTACATCTAGCCATTTCAAATGTAAAGTGATGAGACCTTGCCACCAATCTAGTACTGCACTTAAATTCATCAAGTCCAGGTACCATCAAGAAAAGTTCATCAGAACAATCATCATGCAAATATTGATAGAAAAGTCACAAGGAAAACTACATTATGGCAGTAAGAAAGAAACTGAAACTGGGTTGACAGGTCAGGATCAGTAACATTGCAGATTCTATGGGTTTTATCAAGAATCTCTAAATATATAGCAAGAGCCTCAGACCATATGTGGCAGCAATATTCAAAACAAGGGTGAATGGTAGACTTATAAATATGGAAGATAGAATCTGGCGAGAAAAATTGCCTAGCATGACATAGTAAACCAATTTTCCTAGCTGCATACCTAGCAAGTGATTTAATAAAATCATTCCACTTTATGCCAGTGGAAAACATTAGTCCAAAATGCAATAAGTCATTCTCCTGGAAGTTAGCATCAGCCATGTAGTAGTCCGTGAACCAAACTTGTTAGAGGCGATATAGTGCCTCATTCTATCAGGACATGTTTACAATTATTTTGAGCAATCACAAATAGGTTTCTGTTGTGATCACACTGGTACACCCAGAAAATGTACTTCCTATAGTCTATACCAGCTAAACAGGCTGGTATCAACCAAGGAGAAGATTGTGGTTTCACTTGATATTTGCATGAAGGTACAAAAGCATCAATGCTAGCTTTAACCCAAAAAGAAACCTCTGTGGCACAATTCTTAATAGGAAGGTTAAGAATATTAATCCAAGGGTGCCTTGAATAAAGTCACAAATCAATCTCAATCAGTATGCTGGTAACAAAGAAGTTTTCTGACTAGGAGGTTCCTTTGTAATAGATGACTCAAAAAATATCTACAGATACTACAGTGTGATCCAAATTGCCAAGAGGACAGAGCTGTGATGCTCTACAAGAGATAGGAAAGGTGGTAAGGAACAAATAAAGTGAAGAATGTTTAACAGATTTATTAGAGAAATGAGAAAGGAAATCCACTATATTATCATAACATTTTGGTGATTGTATTCTCAGGCCATTTTAGACATCTGTTAAATTAATTTTCATGGAATTTTGAACTTGAACACTTTATTTAATCTATTGAGTAGATTGTTCTCGTTCTACTGTCCATCAATGTCTTAGTAATATTACAACTAATATGCATAATCAAACATGCATAAATATTTGCCAACTTGATTGCACATATCTATGCAAATGCCTAACCAAAAAGACTTTTCTAAAAAAAAGAAAAAAGCAACTTGTTTGCTTAAACTTTTGAATGTAGGTCGGGGTGACAACTTTTTAGTACATTTTTTTTTTTTTCTTTTTTATGTGTTTATATTTTTGGGTGGTGGGTATTAAACTGCTTCTAGTGGTAAGGCTCAGAAATTTTGTAGGATGTGTAGAGTCAACTGGAGTTGCAATTACTCTCACTTTCATTCTCTCTTTCTTGTCTTGTCTTTCTTTCTTCATTTATATTTATTCTCATTCGTTCACAGTTGATTTTCTAAAATATATATATATATATATATATATATATATATACACACAAGTGCCATTTTAAATATTTTACATAGAACTGTATCCTTCCCTGCTTTCCTCCATTTTCCGATCTTCATTTTGTTGTTGTGTAGTCAGATTATGACAATACTGTTATAGTAGATATTCTGTATAATTTTATATATAGTTTTTAATACCCTGCTCTTGTGGTGTAGATTCAGAGGGAAGTGAATTGACAAGAATAAATCTACACAATCGAACACCAACCCACCCCCACCACCAAAAAAAAAAAAAAAGTTGATCTCCATAGAAGAAAGGTAATGTTATCTGATCATGGC